TAAAAAAAAAAAAAATTTTAAAAAATTTTATTTAAAAAAAAAAAAAAAAAAAAAAAAAAAGTACATTAAAGTTAATATTTTAATTTTTTTTTTTTTTTTTTTCTTTTTTTTTAATGCATAGACGTAAAATTTGCACTTATGGGAACCATTTGAATTCTTATGACTCCTTTGCCTTTATTCCTATATCATTGCTCTCCTTCAAAACATTGTACATATTCATATTTTTACCCTTTTTCTTGTTATTGTCCTTTTTTTCCTCCACATTTTGCTTCATTATTTTTGCCTTTATTTTTTTTATTTATTTTTATTTTTATGGAAAGAGTAGCTTGTTCCTTTTAACGAAAAAACTTTTATTTTTTCATTTTCAAAACGCGTTTTCCCTGTGGGAAAACATCACTGTAAAGGGAAGAATAAAAAAGAAGAGGAGAAGGAAGCTACCTTTTGAAAAATGTCGATTCTGGATTCTTAAAAATGAGTGACTCCAATCAAAAACAGGGGGGGGAGGAAAAAAAAAAACGAAAAAAAAACACACACACACACACACGCACAACTTAAAGGTTCATATAATATGACATTACTGTATTAGTCATTATTATGTATATTTGTATGTTATGTAAACGTAAATCCATTCCAAAGAATATGCATCTAAGATTTTTTCCTAAGTTGTTACCTGTAGTGCAAACGAACTAATGAGAACTTGATAAGGGTAAGATAGAAATCTAGAAAAAGATATAAATCGAAAAGTTACTTCAACATCAATGTTAAAGGGAAAATAAAACAAAGCAAGAAAAACACAAGCATGCAGGGTCACACTTACGTAGTGACCTGTGTATCTACAAGCATGATACAATTTATGCATATTACTCATTAGTGTATCACACGACTAATATACATGCTATATACTTAAGCACAAGTAAATCGATCCAATGTCGAGATCAAAACATTGCCTTTGCAATTTTAAAAATTCAAAATGAGTAATGTAAGCATAGGAAACAAAGTAGTGTGATTTTTTTTTTTTTTTTTTTTTTTTTTTTTTTTTTTTGGTGGTGTGTGGTTAAAAGGTCTTTTTACATAACGTAATGGATGAACATAGCAACAACGCAAGGAACTGTGAAGATGTATCGAACTCTGAGAAATCGATGAGTGCCACCTTTTCGTTTGACATGCTTGACATGATTATTACGAACAATGACAATGGTTACACAAAGCCAGGTGATAAGATAAATTTCAAGAAATATGGAGACAAATACAATATGTGTGATACCGTAGGGATTGATAATGAAAATAGCCAAAAAGAAAAAAAGAAACAAAATCATAAAAAAAATGCTACAAATAACATAACAGAAGTAACGATTGATGAGAAGAACCTCTTCGGTGTATCATTAGAGGAGGGAAAAAAGTCAAAAGGAATTGAAAGTGGAAAAAGGAAAACCCCTGTCTATGAGCAAAGTAAGAATAGTGATGAACAATCAGTTGATTCCAAAAAGAAACAACATAAATTGGAGATAAATGAAAAGGGAAAAAAAAAAAAAAAAGAAAAAAAAAAAATCACCCATGATTTAAACACAGGTATAGAAGCAGAAAACGATTCGCAATTCTCACTATTAGATGAGTTTATTCCTGGTGAAGACATTTATGGTTTAACTTCTTGCAAACAGGAAGCTTTAAATGGTGAAGACATGATGAATTACTTGAGTGGTAATAGCAACGGTAGAAGATGTAACAGAAGTGATGACACTTTTCAGTGGTATGAAAATCAACTGAAAGAGTGTAGCCTGAAGGAAGAGTTAGCCAAAATAGAGGAAGCAGATGATGAAGTTCTACATTCAAAGAGCATCGATTGTGCAAACTGCAAATATTACTTAAAAGAATTGACAACAAGAAACTTTATGAATTTTTCCTACATGGATCAGTACATTAACGAGGGGGAAAATAACTTACTTTTATTAAAAAATAAAAAAATTGAAGAATTGGAAAATGTAAACAAATTAATGAAACACAAAATTATAAAATTAAAAAAAAGGTATAATTTTCTAAACAACAAAATGGACACATTTGTTACTAGCTTGAATAATTTGAAGGGTAATCTTAATAGATTAATAGAAGAAAATAATTCATTAAAGGAAGAAAATAAAAAGTTGAGTGAAGATTTAGAACTGGAAAAACATTTAAGGGGAAAAACCGTAAAGGAAGATACACACACACAAAAAAAAGACGCTTTTTTTTCATCACGTCAAAGAAAAGATATTTTTGAAAAGGATTTTGAAAATTCAATTGACAACGAACTATTTAATGAGTTCTATTAAAGAAAGGGAAAGTGGGTACTGTGTCCCCCCCCCTGGTCAAATAGAAGTTACAAATATCGTACATCTGTACATGCATACATGCGTGCACCTGTGCATATGTGTGTGTCTTCACCAGTTCTGACAAAAATAGTACGTGGCGTGTGCACCACCAATTTGAAACACTAGCATGTTTGCAATATCAACGTACATTTCGTACAATCTAGAGGAATAACACATTCATTCGTGAGAATGGTATGAAGTAGAGTTTTATTTCATATTATTTGTTTCCCAGCCCATTTTCTTCTTCTACAACTAGATATATAGTCCGTGTATGTCTACATATCTGGCTTCACACTTTTGGTTTGGGGGAATCCCATTTGGGCCTTTTCCATGTACGTGTTGTTATATCGAAATTCAGTTTTATTTTTTTTCGTTTGATTACGTATTTTTTTTTTTTTTCAAGTTGTGTCGCTTTAAAAAAAAGATGTCCATAAAATGTTGAACAAAAAATTACTTAAAAAAAAATAAAAACAAAGTATAAGGTATAGAGTATAAAATACAAAAAACAAATATACAGAGAAATAGGCCTCCCAAACGATCACACAGAGAATGGGGCTACCAAACGAACAAACAAAAAACACAAATTGAATGCTCAATTTTGTGTGGTTGCTACATATGAACTTTTGGAAAAATTACGCAGAAATATGTACTATAAGTTCATGCAATACCTCTGTTTGTGAGTCGTTTTTTTTTTAAAAAAGAAAAAAAAAAATACATCATAAATGATTAAACAATGTGTGGGTTTATTCATATTGAAGCAAAAAAAAAAAAAAAAAAAAAAAAAAAGAATTTAATGTGCTAAGAAAACTCCTTGTAATAGTCCCCGGTTTCTACCTTAATTGGTAACATAAAATTAAATTTTTCAAAAATTGATTTTAGCATATTGGGAGAATTATTGTACACATCATTATGACCACACAAATTGATATTCCAATTACAGTCATTATTATTAGCTAGCTCTAAATATTCTATGTATGTTTGTATTGAAATATTATCGTGCATATAATCATATAGTAACATCAATCTGTCACATGTATTTGTGTACTGTATTAAATTGTAAAATGCATTTTCTAAAACAGGTTTGAATAGATGAATGATAGGGCTTGTAGATCTTTTATTACTTTCAAATAATAATTCGTCATGAACTTGTAAAATTAATTTTGTTGATTTTAGAAATGTTTTATTTTTCTGAATTGTAGATTCATTCAAATTATTTATTTCTAGCAGTGGCCCATTTTTATACGTATCATATGACATAATATGAAAACATGAAAGTAGGGCAAACTTCATAATATCTGCTGCACACCCTTGAATTGGTGTATTCATACTGATTCTATACTTATTTTTTATTGTGGGTTCTATTAATCTTTTTCTTCCTATTAGCGTGTACACTCTGTTCATATTTTTTAATAAAATTTTCTGCATCTGCATAAATCTAAACACATTCGGGAAAAATTGAAAAAAGTTAGAAATCAAATCATTTGCTAATGCTTCACTTATGAGCAAACTCCTTGCCAATCCACTTTCTGTCTGTCCATATAAAATTCCGTAAATAACCGTTTTTGTCATCCTTCTCAATTCGCTAGTTACTTCGTTAGTGCTAAACAGCACTTTGGCCGTTTCGACAAAAACATCCCCACTGTTCAACATCTTCAACAGATGTGTGTCGAAACTGAGGTATGCCATAACGAACAATTCCATCTGTTTATAGTCGAAGGTGATTAAATTCTCTCTCTCTTGATATGCGTATTCATGATTCAATTTCTTTTTGATACCAGATTCATCCCTTTGCACTTCTACCATCTTTAGAGATACAGCACAACGAAATCTTGAGTGGATATTCTGTAAATTTGGCTGATCACAAGAGAGTCTACCAGTAGAGGTACCTATTTGATTGAAATTGCAATGTACTTTATTGGTGTCTTTTTGTATAAACTTTGGTAAGTTCTCTATATAATTCTGAAAAAGCTTCTTAGATTCTCTGTACAATTTTACGTTGTTAATAATTTTTTTAATTTTTTCCTTTTCCCTTTCAGCTATGTACTTATTTTTTTCAATTTCATCAACAAGGAGTTTCAAAATTTTATTATTCGTTTGGAAAATTTTTTTACTTCTTTTCATATCATTAATAGTGTTGTTAAAATTAGTGATCGAGTTAGCGTCATTCGTTGTATCACTTCTAACAGATGTACAACTCGTTAAAGATGGGTTCATATTTGACTCAGTGTAATTATTCTTCATGGTCCTATTTCCTACTAAATTCATGTTTTGGAAAACTTTTCTTCTATTTGCTTCATCGATATTGTTTGTACGTTTGTGAATTCTCGAGCATGGATCTTTTTCTTCTTTTTCTTCATCTTCTTTTTCTTCATCTTCTTCTTCTTCTTCTTCTTCCTCTGCTTGACTTGTCACTTTTTTTACGTTTTCAAAATTTCCTTTCCTCTGAAGACACTCATCAGAAATGTGACATAATGCCTTGCCACTTTTCCCACTCCCAGCCGCATGTTCACCTTTTTTTTGCAGTGTCTCCCCGGGTAACACTACGCCATTTGTGGGTTCCCCTACTATTCCCATGTTGCTGTTAAGAGTGATCTCTAATAAATTTTTGTATATCAAAGATGCCACTTGTTTGGATGAGTTCAAATTTATGTTACATTCACAAAGTTGCTCTATTTCTTTTTTATATATTAATGGGTCATTAGAACTTTGCTGAATTTCCTGGATTTTTTTTTTATTTAAGAAAATTCCTCTTTTTTCAATTTCGCTAATACATAATATTAATGGCTGTTCAATTTTTAGATAAATGTTTAACAAATTCAAGTTATTTTCAAATTTTGCTATTAAAAAATTGAATAACAACATCATACAGCAATTCCTAGATATACAATAACTCATCATATCTTCTTCAGTAATTTCTTGCATACTTCTTTTATTTCCAAACACTAATTTTTTGATGCTATTTTTGTCCTCTACCTTTACTTGGGTAAAGCTGAAATGGTTTTGTTTCACTTTCGATAATTTCTTCTCTGCACTTTGGCATAACTTGTTCTCGCTCTTAACAAGATTTACACATTTTGTAAACATTATGTCGTTATCCTCGATTATTTCCTCTTTTTGTACATTTCTTAACTCGGTTTGTTTATTTTTTTGCACATCTATTATTATATCATTTTTTGAAACCGCAGGCTTAGCAACTTCCGAGTAAGAATAGCCCTTCTCTCTCTCATATTGGAGTTTTATTTTCTGATACTTTCCCCATCCAAAAATTCCATATTTTCCAGAAATGACATCTGAAAATTCGGGAGGCATAGTGGAAAAATGGCACATTCCATGAGATGACATTTCAGATAAGTTTAATTCTGACGTAATGGATTGAGTCCTAGTCACACTTCTCCCAACCTGATCCTTAAACTCACAAAACACATTTTGTAGTTTTTCACCCCTTTGGACAAGTTGCAATAACGAGCTAATTATATATATATCAAACACATTACTCATATTTGGTAATTTCAATTTTATATTATTAAACAAATGTATCATAGTTTTATAATCGTACACAATGAATAAAAATGGAATAGGCTTGTTATCATTTATCTCGTGTCTCATAACGAAATTATCTGTGTCTGAAAAATTCCCAAGTATACATCTATTTAGTATTTCCCTCTCAGTTTTGTTATTTTTCAATTCAAGCACATTGAAGGAAAAGTAGTAGCTCCTTTCACCTCCTCCCTTCTGATCGACGTATAGTTCATCCGGTGCCTTGCATTGTTTTTCTTCTTCTTCTTCTGTTTCATCACTCCGCTTGGGAATGTCATGCACTTGTTTCCCCCTTGAGGAATATTCTTCACAACCATCAGAAGAAACAATTCTTACTCTTTCTACTGTGTTATACGCACCGCTATGATCCCTTGTAATTACATACTGTAAATCATAACTACTTGAACTGTCATTTTTTTTTTTTTTTTTTTTTGAAAGGAATGTTTTTTCTTCTTGATTTGGATATTCATTCGTTTTTTTTTCACTTAAATTGTCTATGGTTGTTTCGCCCTTCTGATTAAGTTTTTTTTTTCTCTCCTTTTTAGGCTCCTTTTTTTTGGACTTTTTCATTGCACCTTCAGCTTTTCCTTCCTCTCCCTCGAAGTAATTTCCATTTGCAAGATTTCTCTCTTTCAAATTATGCTCCAACTGATGTTTCTCTTTGTGCTCTCGTTGATGGAAGACATGCTTACTACACCTTAGTTCCTCCTTTATGTGAAGATTTTTCAAAAGTGTGTGAAAACTAAATTCATCATATTTCTGCAAATTCGTTGTTAGGGTGTTGTTTCCACTTGGTATCACCACATGGATGGTCAAATATGTTGGCACGGAAAAGCATTTAGACTTGTACTTATCATCGCTAATTTCTGGAAACCAGCTTATGTATATTTTGATTAACTTTTTCCAATCTTCTAATAGATTTATCTGTTCATTATCCTTTGTAACTCTTACTTCTTTTTTGTTAAAGCTTCTTTTTGTGTCATACTGCTTACTCTTGCTCAGGGTGTTCAGGAAAGAGTATAGGGAGCTAGCTTCATTTGAATTTTTTTTTTTTTTCTTAAGCAGGTGGAGCAGGTGCGTGTAACTTATGGAGAGACAACCCCTGCTTCTGATGTTGCTTCTGATGTTGTTTCTGATGTTGCTTCTGATGTTGTTTCTGATGTTGCTACTGATGTTGTTTCTGATGTTGCTACTGATGTTGCTTCTGATGTTGTTTCTGATGTTGCTACTGATGTTGCTACTGATGTTGCTACTGATGCCACTACTAATACCACCACTACTGCTGTTGTGTATGTAAATTCTGCTATACTCACTCCTATGTATTTTAAAAATGCCGTTGCTTCTTTTTAAAGTGGCGAATAATTTCATTTTTTCATTTTCTCAACTACGTCTACCAATCCCTTTTCCATATATTATAAATGCACATATGTAAAGCAGGGGTGATGGGGGGAAAGCTGCCATATATATGAATGAGCAATCTCTCTTCTCTTTACATTTTTTTTTTTTTTTTTTTTTTTTTTTGTGACATTATTATCTTTTAATATATTTAATGAATTACCCATAATTGTTTCCACAGGGAAAATGTTGTGTGTCAATTCCCCTTGCTTTCTTCTAATCTCCAAACGCAAAACTGTTATATACTTTTTGTTTAAATAATTTCATCTCTGAAACATTTATTTTTCTCGTACATTCAGATATCCCCCTGTGGTTCCAAGTGACCACTAACGAATTTATTAGAAAATGATCTTAACCCGGAACTGGCTATGTTTCCTCACACCAGCCGAGATGGTGGGAAAAAAAAAAAAAGAAAAAAAAGAATATATATATGTTAAAATATATTAAAATAAAAAATGCCCATGCGTTATAAAAATACCATCTCTTTTATGCGAGCAAATTTATGTATGTATTCCCTTTTTATATTTCCCAAATCAGTTGATACGAGCGTTGAGATATAAAATTCGCCCTGCTCTAGTTGGAGAAATGAAAATTTGATATTCTCCATTACCAGCACTTATATCACCCTTTCGTATCACCATTTCGAACTCATATTAATTATTCTTAAAGAAGAAAAACAAAATTAACAATGGTTGTGCATGTTCCAATTCTGGGCAACAATCATGAATGTTGCAATTTTGGCTCAAGTGACCAGGAAAAATTTTGTTACGATTAAAATTATCAGTGTTTCATATTTGTATCCATATTTTCTAAGCTTCTTATTACAAATTCCATTGTATCCATAATAATACAAGTGTGCATATGAGCAAGGTGGTAGTGTGGGGAGAGATTAGCTATGCCATACCCTTTTCACAAGAGATGAGTTAAAGATATGTAATATGAATGCACCTCTTCCACGTGTGTTCAGAATTATATGCGTTTTTTACCTTATCTCTTTATGTTACGTTTTTATGTCATTATGCCACTTTTTTATGCTATATTTCACTTCTTTTATTTATTTATTTATTTATTTTCTTACTCTTTTTTTCTTATTTTCTCCCCCGTCCACACAACTTGAAATATTTAAATGGCTATAAAATATATAGGGGAATTTTGACAAATATGGATAACATGTAATTAGTTTATTCAAAATCAGGGAAAGTTTTTTTTAATTAAGTTTCTCTGGCATAATCTAGTTACAAGAAAAAATGGAAAACTAGATAAGCATCACATGAATGCAAAATATCAGCCAAACAGTACACCAAAAGGGAGCTATCATGCGGTAAGCCAAATAAATTTTAAAAAAAAGAAAAAAAAATTGTTGCCAAAAATTTTATACAGGTAAATGTGCAATAATTACTTATAATTAACATGTTCAAAAAAAAAAAAAAAAAAAAAAAAAAAACTTAAAAAATTAAAAAAAAAGAAAAAAAAAAACCTGCGAAAAAAAAAAAAAAAAAAAAAAAAAAAAAAAAAAAAAAAAAAAAAAGTGAAAAAAAAAACCATAGTAAAAAAAAAAAAAAAAAAAAAAAAGAGACTCAAAATTACAAAATATGTGAACAAAATAGCCATAGTAAAAAAAAAAAAAAATTTATTTCACATAAAAATCGATGGGCGTATATTATCGGGACGGTTATGTAAAAGACATAAGAAGCGATTGTTCGAGGGGTATTATCATGAATATCTATCTACGTGAAAAAATAGAACACGCACAAAAGCAAAACTGAGTTGGGAAACAATACTAAGGAAATAACCCAGGATGGGTGGTGCAGTGTTTACATGATACAAATAATTCAAATAGTGTAGAGATATTATAATAACTTTCTAATTACAACTCTACATTCTTTTTCGGAAAATAAAAGAGTGAAACTAAGTCGTAAAAAAGGGATGAAAAAAAACCTCTGTTGTTTTTATTGCTATGTTGATCACCTTTTTCATCATATTCAACTGTTTTCTGAATATCATCTGATAATATGGAATTTATGGTCTGAGTTGTACTGTAATATTCATTGTCAAGAAAGTCTTCTAGTTTTTCTTCTGAACTAGATAGATATTCCTTAAATTCGATATATTTCTGCAAAATTTTTTTCGGATTCTTAGACAACATATTAACTAAGTAGAATTTTTTGGAGAGGTAAAAAAGAGAAGAACTTGGTGATTTGCCATGTTCACTAGGATAATTTGTGCCATACATACTGTTATAATAGTCACTACTATAATAATCATTTTCATTTCTATCGTGTATATGTTTTTCCTCTTCATCTATTTCGGAAGTACTATTGCCTTTTTGGTGTGTGTCATCCAAATGTTCAATGTTGGAATAATAATGTGTTTCACCAATGGATTCTACCAATTCGTAATCTATTTCTTCATCTGCATCATGATTTTCTTTGTCATTGCTTTTTTTACAATTATATCCATTTAATGTTTTGAGACATTTTTCATTACGGAATGGGCTATTTTGCAATATCTCATTTTTTTTTTTAATGTAATTACTTTCCCCTTTTACAAAATTATTATAATTTTCATCATTCTCGTTTTTCTTCATTTCTTTGTTACTATTGCTTCCATTTAATATATTAACTTGTATGTCTTTTAAATTAAAATATTTATTATTAAACTCGATAAGCAAATCATCAATGTCATTTACATTTCTATTTCCTTTATTTGGTCCTCCAAATTTGTAATTATTATTATTTAATTTTAATAATTTTTCATTAAATACTGGGAATAAATCTTTAATGTCATCCATGTCTTGTTCATTCAACGTGTTTTTCATAATATCTTGTAGGGAATATAACTTGGATAACTTGTCTTCTTTCCTTTTTTCTACGTAATATTCGCAGCATTTTTTATTCTTGTCATTTCTAGGGGTATTAAACTGAAATATGTAACACTTATAGCGTAGGGGATTTTTAAAGACATTTATATGGCAGCACACATCCTCATTTTCGTTACTTTCTTTATAACTACACCCCACAGAATTTGCTTTAAAAAAGTTTAAAATGAGCAAAATGGAGAATAACGTAACAATAGTCATGCTTTTCTCATTTACAAATTTGTACATGCAAAAAAAAAAAAAAAAAAGATAAAAGGGGAAAAATGTGGAAAGTGCTAAAAAACAAGAAAAAAAAATTGGAAAAAAATGGAAAAAAATGGAAAAATCTGGAAAAAACTGGAAAAAACATGAAAAAACAGGAAAAAACAAAATCATCTGAAAGGGACACGGAATGTATGTTACATTCACATGAATTCAGCTAAAGCGTAACAAATGGCATAGTTTAGGTATATTATACTGATGAGGTAATCGTTTTACATATTTTCAGAGAAAAATTATGACAATGTGTTGCGTGTATGAATAACACTGTTATGGAAATCACCTCAGCAGGTGGTTGTAATAGGGGATGGGGTGTGCAACTCTATTTGTTTCGTTTAATTATTTGATTTGGTTGATAGCTTCATTTCAAACTTGGTGGCTATGCAGTTAGTTATATTTCCTATTTTTTCTTGCAAAACTGTAGTGAAGTAAATTTACTTCAACATCGTTTGTTCGCATTTCAGAAAATTATTTTACATGTATACACGTGTTATATCTACATATATATACAAATACATATACTCATCACTAATTTTGAATGTACATTTTATATGTACAGTATAGAGTTGAAGGGTGGAGTGGGATGATATATTTATCTAAAAATAGGTGTTTTATAAATGGCAAACTAAATGTTACAAATAATGGTATCTGTATTATGTAATAGGCAGAAAAAAAAAAAAAAAAAAAAATTACGAATAAAATTGACATAAAGATGAAAACATATCTATATACATGTGGATATTTATATATAAATGTATGTAAATATATTTTTATACATGTATACATTTTTATGCATTGCCGCTATTTCGCAAAATTCAACACAAAACTTCTTTATAACAATTTTAGGTGCATAGAGGAGGAAATAAAAAAAAAATAACAGAAAAAAGGAAATTTTTTAAAAGAACAAAAGTAATCAAAATAATCTGAATATTATATGTAGTACGTTGTTTTTTTTTTTTTTTTTTTTTTTTTTTTTTTTTTTTTTTTTTTTTTTTTTTTTTTTTTTTTTTTTTTATTTTTTTTTTTATTATTATTTTATTTTTTTTTTTATTATTAATTTTTTTCTTTTTTTTTGGGTGTACGTAGCATGGGGAAAATAGAAAATTTTTGCCTGACTGTTCATAAAAAGAACGAATGGGACAAGCAAATTTTGACCCATTTATAAAAAGGTATAATAAAATGTATACGTGCGCTACAGGTGGTGAACGGATGGGTAGGAAAGTTAAACAGTTTTGATGGAAATAGCTATTGTGGAAAACAGTTGTAGAACGAGGGCACTATAAATATATATATATATATATGTATACATACCCTTATAAACACTTATGAATCAAAAAATGTGTGTCAAAAACGGGTGAACAAGTGAATAAATAAGAAAACATTCTACAATTTTTAGCACATTCCATTTAAGAGAATGAAAACAAGGGAATCGTTAGTATGGTCAAAACAAGCTTCAATATTGTGTTATTCCAGCGTATGTGCATAACCAGAAGAGTGCGTTTTTTTTTTTTTTTTTTTTTTTTTTTTATGTATACACGGGAACTGTAATAAACGGCATAAGTTTTAATATCATGTGGTAAAATGGCACAAAAGTGAGCTCATGAGCAAACGAACATATATGGATGTACATATTTCAACCCCCCACTAGAACCACCACCACATGCACACACACACACACACACTTTCTTGTACCCCTTGTTGTGACAATTAAAACAGTAACCCAGGGGAAAAATCAAATTTACGCGAACATAGAACGAGGCTGCTTTAATTTATTAGAAGGTTAAATGTGTAAATGTTCACACACCAAAAAAAAAAAAAAATAAAATAAAATAAAAACGTAAGCGTATAACCAAGTTCATAAGTGTGGATTTATGCGTACATTCATAAGTATACATTTAATTGAAGATGTGCAAATTGAATCCAACCACCACCACATAGGCATACACGGAAACCTTAAATGATGTTACCAAAGCTGAAATTGCTAACATTCAGGGGATTCAAATTTCCTCCTTCCTACGACAACATTTATGCTCTTAGAAATTACCAGCGCTATGCGGAGGAACAACGTTTAAGTAACAAAAAAATGGGCAAGTTGATGAGAAGCAATGACTATAATGCAACTATGTTTTATAATAACATGGAAAATGATGGGTTCTCCCATGTGGACAAATCTAATTACAACATTTTATGTAACAACGATGAACCCATTGATGTGAACAAGGTGAAGGCAGGAGATGAAGTAGCAAAAAATAATTACCCGTTTTTCCTTAATGATAAATTATTTTATAATTACCTAGCTCATAAACTGATGAATAAAGAAAACAAAAGAAAACACATTTCCCATGATTTCTTTTATCACTTAAACAAATTTCATATAAATGTAATAAATAATCATTTTAACGAGTGCTTCTTAAAATTAACCAAGACATCTAAAATATTTTTTGCTGTAGTATCTAGCTTTTCTGTTCTTTTAACCTTCTTTTTAGTAGTATCATCAAATTATTTAGAATATAATATAATATTAAAGTATCACATAAAATTTCATTCATTGCTTTTTTCTTTTTTTCCATCATACTATTTGGGCTTACAAGTGGGTAGTTACTATTTTACCAATAATTTTCATTATATGTATGCCTTTCTGTTTTTAGTCTCTTCAATTATTTCAATGTGTATGGCGGATTATGACATATGGGGATCATATTATTTTCTAAGCTTAAATTACTTAGCTTTTATAGTCATTAATTATTATAATATGTATTTAAATAGATTCCCCAATTATATATTTCAGAAAATCAATCGCATTTTTTTCTTTTCCCTCATGTCAAACTACTTAGCTGTCAACAAGGGGAAGTATATAGAAAAAAATATTCACTTGTTACGGGATGAAACTGACGATGCAAATCGCTTCAAGTTATTCAAGGTACTTCCATATTTTTTATGATATTCTTGGAATGACAATACTATTGTGCTCTATCTGAGCAATTCAGATATTGAGTTTTTTTTTTTTTTTTTTTTTCATTTTCTCAAATATACTTGTATATCTCCCCCCCATGCACATGAGTTGTATTAACCTACAAAAACTCCAATGACTTACACACGTATGTGAAAGAACAAGTTTTTTCTCATACACGTTATACCATCCTCTTATGTGTAAAATCCGGAATCGTGTTATCCCTTTTTTTTTTTTTTTTTTATTTACTTTTGTGAATGTTTAAAAAAATAACATCAAAAGAAACTGATAACACATAAATCCTCCAAATAACATTTACAATTTCCGCCCCTCTGTTGGGCATATGACACAGATGGTTGGCCATTATTATCTCTTCAATCTTAAGAAACAGTTAAACAAGATGAAATAATGTCTGTTAATATTTCATTTTGTCAAAAGTTGATGTTTCTCCACAGTAAAACATTTGTACGTCGTAAACAATCAAACTTTCATGGGGCAACATTCAATGAGAAACGAGTACAGTGTGTACTTAATAATAATGTATGTAGCGTAAGGATTATTTTTAAAAAGGACAAGTTCAAATAATTACTGAATCGTTATATTTGTGTACAATATGTAAGATTAATTTTATACATAATAAAATTAAGAATAAAAGGGTTTGTTCGAACTTTATTATATTTTATTATATTTTATTATATTTTATTTTGTTTTATTTTGTTTTATTTTGTTTTATTTTGTTTTATTTTGTTTTATTTTGTTTTATTTTGCTTTATTTTGCTTTATTTAATTTTGTTTTATTTAATTTTTTCCCCTTCTTTTTCATATTCCTATTTTATAATAAAATAAACGTGGTACTAGGTAGTAGTACCAATGTTTTTTTTTTTTTTTTTTTTTTTGGCCAAGTGGAGATGAAAATAAATACCTTGACGTAATAAAAAGTGATCTCCATTTATATTTTTATATGCACAGATCTGGGCACGCGTATTTGAAGCGAATGTTTTTTTTTTTTTCCTTTCTTTTTTTTTAAATATAAATTCATAGAGTTTGTATTTATCCTGGTGCTCACAAGAAAAATACGCATGTAAGTTGGGGAAGAAAAAGTCATTTACCTAATTATATATATGTATATATATATAGTATGCATATACATCCATAAACATGAATAATGAATATATAATGTACAACTAAATAGGTATGCTCGTTTAGATAGATATATATTCATTTCCTCATTGGGAATAAATTAATGAAGAAAACTGAAATGAAAAAAAAAAAGAGGAATTAATAACGTTTATATATATATATATATATAATGCGTATTCAACGGAAAATAAGTGAAGGAGAATTAACTTGTGTTATAGCAAAGCCACGAGCAGCACATGTATAACATGTATGTATATGTATATATATATATATATATATATATATATATATATATATATATATATATAATTTAATTCTCAGTGAAAAGAAAAGGAAATGTATGCCCAAATCGTGCCCTTTACACAATTCCTTTCCTTTCCCTTTTTTTTTTTTTTTTTTTTTTTGCATCCATGAGATTGCTAAATATCCCTAATTTTGTTTGATTGTTAGTAGGATGATGGTATACATCACATGAATGCATACATAATATGCACACGTATGTATATGTATGTTTATAACAAAATATAAAACTGTCGAAGAAAAGAAAAACGACAAAAAAATATACCTTCCCTATGCAGTTAGTAGTACGTTATACATTTTGTGGAATTTTGTAACAAAGCATAGCCTATTATTTTGAACCCAAGTACGGGTTATTTGAACGTGCAAAGTGGTATGCATTCATGTAAGTATATATATATATATATATATATATATGTGCACATTTATACGCACATAGATATACGTATAATTCTTACCCCCACGCACATATACCCCAAGGGGTACATTAATTTAACCCTATGATCAGAAAATAGGCATACTAGTTATGTATGGACAAAAGAGCGAGAATGAAATTCATTTTCTGGGTGGGTGAGGATATATATACCTTTTTCATTTTCCCGTAATTACAAAAATTCAATTTAATACTTTTTTTCGTATATGTTTGTCGAAGTTTTTCAGCGCAGTAGAAAAACATATGTTTTTGTGCATAATTCATAAAAAAATACGTTACAAATGTATGTACATGTGTATATGCGAAAATTATATATACATACATAACGTACCACTTTTGCTAAACATTTCTTTTTCTCCCATTTTCTTACGTGATATATTTACCTGTGCGTAAAAAGAAGTCTTTTTTAGTTTTCATGATTTACACTTATATGCATTTTTAATATTACGTATGCACTTTTATACCTTTAAACTGATTGACCCAAGTATACATAAATACATCTATCATGTACCATATACGCTTAGACATATACATAGACATGCGATATTAACTTAAAGCAGACCATACAAAGGGGTACTTTTCGCAAATAGGAAAATTGTGCATTTTTTATTTTTATTTATTTTTTTTTTTTTTGCAGCGTTCATAGTATACATTTATCATAATATACCTCTGTATATTTGTACTTATTATGCAGTTATTACGTAGGCAATATATATATATATATATATATACATATATACATATGTACACTCTTATGTTCACGCATGCATAATTATTTAGAGAAGGAAAAAGAATAACATTCACTACTGCTGTTCATTATGCGACGTGTTCGAATGGTGCGCTTTACGCGCCATATTCTTTGTTTTTGAAATGTAATTCGCCTTCCGTTTTATTTTTCGTTTATACATATATATGCATACATACGTACGTACATATATATATATTTCTCCTTTCTTTTTTCTAATTTAATATTTTAATTTAACCGTTAACCTGCATTGTTAACAGGTCTGCTTTTTAATGATGAGCATGATTAAGCGTCATGTTTGTAAATTATACGTGTATACACATTTGGATATGCATATAGGCCATCTTGTGCTCCTATAACTAATCCCATTCTCATAAGCATTATATTATAAGCAATATGTGAATATGTATATATCTTTTTTTTTAGAATGATTTATGAATTATTTTAACCATTTGAACGTGTTGCCTTTTCTCTCACCTCCCTTTCCAAGAAGAGTCGACATATTATTTTATTTAATTTTACTTATTTTAATTTTTTTTTTTTTTTTTTTTTTTTATGTTATATTTATTTACCCATTTGTATTATGGGTGTCACTCATTTAGTTCAACTTCATTCTGCTTTATTTCAATCCTGTTCATGCTACTACCTCTGCATTGCTTACTTGTTTTGCTGTCAACAAGTGTATTATAGCATATTTCCCTTTGTTTTTAAATTTATTTTTTTAGACTTTTTAGAGTATTTAGACTTTTTATGGTGTTATACCTTTTAGGGTATTTATACTTTATAGAATATTTAGATTATTTAGACATTTTAGATTTTTTTTTTTTTTTTTTTTTTTTTTCGCCTGTTTTTGATTTTTAACGCGCCATTTTTGGCTGTTTCCAATTTGTATGGCATTGCAAAATGCACACCGTTTACGAAAGCGAAAATCTGCTAGAATGCAGTAACTTCATTTTAAGAAGCAAAGAATCTATTGATGATTTTTTGCAACTGAGTGAAATAAAAGAAGAAAGTGAAGACACCTACGTAAATTATAACATTGAATGTACACTAAATAAGACCATCGAGGATGAATGTGGAATTGGACGGAGGAAAAATACGTCGTTTCATAGTAGAAGAGAAATTTTGAATAATGAATCAGGAGTGGAAGGAGAGTTAAATAAAAAATATGAATATGGTGTATCAGATCCGATTTCTTTAAATTATCCTACAGAAGAAGATTTAAAAAAAGCAAATGATGTGATAGAATTGTTAAAAGGTTATAATTTGTATGAAACAGAATATGCTTTAAAAAAAAGAGAAAGAGTATTAGGTATGATTAATAAATTATTTCACGAATTTGTTATAGAAATATCAATAAATCAAGGAATAAATGAAGAAGATGCAAAACATATACATGGAAATTTATACACATTTGGTTCCTATAGATTAGGAGTTATAACACCAAATAGTGATATCGATTGTATATTTTTAGCACCTCAAAATATAACAAGAGAAATTTTTTTTAATGAATTCTATTTAAAATTACAACAGGATAGAAATGTACGTAAGTTACAATCCCTTCCTGAAACATATACTCCAATAATTCAGTTCATGTATGATGATGTAGACATAGATTTGTTATTAGCTACATTGCCATATAGAACTTTAAAGGATTGTTACTATTCATTGGACAATGATTATATTTTAAAAAATTTAGATGAAGTAACAGTAAGATCTTTAAATGGTATAAGAGTAGCTGATTTGATATTATCATCTGTACCAAATAAAGAACATTTTAGAAATACACTAAGATTTATTAAATTATGGGCTAAAAACAGAGGAATATATAGTAACATTTTAGGATTTCTAGGAGGAATATCATGGGCATTATTAACAGCTAAGGTTTGTCAGCTGTATCCAAATTATAATGTTAGTCAATTAATATGCAAATTTTTTAGGGTTTATTCTATTTGGAATTGGAAATACCCTGTACTTATACAAAATATAAAGAAGTATAACAATGTCGATGGATTGAAAAATTTTCCTATATGGGACCCAGAGAAAAATATTAAAGACAAATTACATGTTATGCCTATTATTACCCCAGCTTTTCCTTGTATGAATTCAACTCATAATGTTACATACTGCACAAGGAGTATTCTGATAGATGAGTTTAAAAGAGCTCATGCGATTATTAACTACATGGAACTAAACCCAGGTGCAAATGTCAACTTCCTTATGAATCAAATAAATGGAATGGTTACGACGGCTAACGGTTCTAGTGCTGCTTCTGCCAATAATAGTATATGGACGAATATCCTTGAACCGTTAGACCTCTTTGCATCGTATAAACATTTTCTTCATATTCAAATAATGGCAACGAATGAACTTATATACAATTCATGGAAGGGTTGGATTGAAAGCAAAATCAGACTTTTATTTAAAAAATTAGAAACAATTAACGAGTTGAAAATAAGACCGTATCCCAAATTTTACGTGTATAAAAAGGATAAATTCTATCATTGCTCATCTTTTTTTATAGCACTTGTATTTTTTCTTAAAAATATATATGATAATACTTTTAATCTTTCCTATGCAATTCGGGATTTTATAGAGATAGTTCTCAATTGGCCTCAAAAAAATAAATATCCAAATTGTTACAAAATTAATATAAGTTACCAAAAAAAATCGCAAGTTATGGAATTTTTGTCTTCTGTATCATCCAGTGCCCAAACACACCAGGAAAACACAGCTGAAAACAGGCAGCAAAATGAAGATGAACCCATCAAAGATGAACGAAATTCAGTCCAAGGTAGTTCCAACATGCACGATCAGCTCAATGATCAGCTCAACGATCAGCACTTTGATATACAAGGTGAATAGTGGCGCAGCAATTGAACGGTACGGGGCCATGTACCGATGAGGCCACCATATTTGCAATGGTTTTTACATAGTCCTACCGTCACTTCAAAACATGGCGCTCTTCCACCCAACAGACCTTTGCCCAAGCGTAAATGTTATTAGCTATAAAAAAAAAAAAAAAAAAAAAAAAAAAAAAAAAACCAGCATATGCGTGTTTGTGACAGACACGAAGTTATCAAAAAGGTCGACACCTTACATATTTGCGAATTTGTTCAATCGTCGGAAGATGTTAACATGTGTTGATCGCTTGCCATTCCTTGTAGATTTATGTACATGAATTTTTTCATCAGTAGTGTATGTGCGCGCACATGTACATATATAAGCAGAGCATATATATATATATGTGTGCGTGTGTATATATTTTTTTTTTTTTTTTTTTTTTTTTTTTTTCGAATGAAAGCTTATAAGCAAATTTTATTAGAACATTTTATTACGCTTAATATAATAAAGTAGTGATAATAAGTGGTAATAGGTGTTAATAAAGGGTTCATGAGGGATATATATCCAATTATGTATTTATTATACAAAAAAAAATTTGCAAAACTATAAAACTGTGCATGCGCGCAACACAAACGGTTGAAATGCTTTACAAGGAATGTCATCCACAAATATTATTTATCGGTTTAAAAAAATGTAATAAAATAAAACACACACATACACAAAACAAACAGCTTCTTCTTTTTTTTTTTCTGCGCCCTTTGTACGAAATAGTATGAAATGTGAATAGGAGAATTCTGTCTAGCCAAAAATGTGCAACTTCATGGTTAACCAGTTAGCAAAAAATGTTAAGCAGTATTCTCCAATTCTCTGCACTTTTTTTTTTTTTTTTTTTTTTTTTGTATCATCTGTCAAGTTGACACAATAATTTCCCGAGGAATGCCCTTTTTTCACACAGGTTCAATGAATTCCCATTTGTTACATTTGTCACCTTTTAAATCAGCTTATTATGACTTGGGCTTATTAGAAATATTACTAAACTTGTAGTGGTTAAAGTAGGACTGTCTTAAAACCTCTGGATTTTTATACAAAAGAGGGTACATATACTCCGTTTGCAGAAGAAGGTTGGGTACGAATTCATACTTTTCCATTATATGATATAAGGAAAAGTTGGTAAATTTTTTCAATCTCTCTTCCTTGTTCTCTGGTAATAATGGCATAGATTTTTTATTGCTTAATTTTTTAAACCATTTGCATACGTTTCCATAGTCCTTTATACTTGCCTTCCCCATTTTCCTTCCCTTGTGTTCCGTGACAGAGTCTTTACCTAAAAAAATGTGTAACACCATTGATGTGATGGAGTTTATAAGTATTCAAGTATGTATGCTCACGGACGTATATGTATACGTATATACACATTCATAAACACTTGTTTTACTCTTTCCTTAGTGACTTATTGTACCTTAACTTGATTAATAGTTTAGTAAAAAAAAAAAAAAAAAATGTCTTCTGGAATTTTGTTCCTTTGCTGAGTTTGGTAAAGTTATTTTTGTTTATGCTACTTTTTAAAAAAAAAAAAAAAAATAATATTGTGAAAATTGATCCTCTATATATTATTACCTACATGTGCTTATCCGTATGTGCATTTATATGATGTATATTATATATGTACAAGTTAATATATATTTGCTTTTATCTAAACATGTATGTATTTGTGAGAACGTACTTATAAATATATTCCTCATGTGAGTTTATATTTTTTTTTTTTTTCCCCCATCAAATTTACTCGAAGAAGGGGTATGAATTGGCGTAATATTTATCCTCTTTATATTGATCAGTTCAAACGAATATATATTCTTCAAGCAATGCTAGAAAAAAAAAATAAAATAAAATAAAATAAAATAAGCGAATTAACTCATAAATGTATAAATTCATAAACGCATATACGCATGCAACGCACGCATATGAGATTACCTTATTCGCGCCGGGTGATGTGAGTGAAAAAAAAACATACACATAGAGCGACCCATGGAAACAAGGAAGCTTACGCTAAACCCGTTCCAGTTATGAATGGACAGGGGGTGGATGTAAACTGTAATTGTCATAAAAAGGGATGAAAATCCGGAAAAAAAGAAAAAAAAAAAAAAAAGAGTAATTTATGTATATTGTTTTAACCTTAATTTTCAACCCCTACAGGCTAAGAAAGGGGAGGAATAATATAAAAGAACACGAACATTACTAATTCCTGTTCCGAGACCTCATATCAGAACTGCCGTTTTTATTTCTTTTTTGTCGAAATGTAATTTTTTAAAGCTTTCCTACCTTTTAAAAGAAAATATATTTGTACGAAAATGTTTTCATAACTTAAGAAAAATATACCCCTTTATATACATAATATATAGGGATGAGAGTTAGAGAGAGAATACATTACATTTAGAAGTCGTGCTCCATCAGTTGTATAAATGATTAATAATATATTAATAAAACAAAAGTATATATATATATATGCAAAGGAAAAACGTGCACAATTATTTGTACACGGTAGTTAATTTTTTTTTTTTTTTTTTTTTTTTTTTTTGTGAATAAACAAATAAGAGAGAGAGATGCAAAATGCGTGGAATAAGTTCAATAAAGCTATGCAAAATATTCAAAATGTTATTCTTACAGATGATGATGATTCGTTATTTCTAAATGAGAAATGTTTAAGTGTGAATGATGATAAAAGTGGGGTAAATGATGAGGACAATTTAACAAAAAGAGAAGAAACAGATTACGGAAATTCAAGTGTGAAGCTATTGTCTCAAACTACGTCCAGTTTGAAAAATACTTTATTTAAAATTTCCTCCCCTTGTAGTGGCGATGACAAGGAGAAAAATCTAATAGACACGAAAAATATTTTATATGAAGAAATTGTGAAGAACATAAATTTATGCAACAATTTGCTGAAGAATGAAAAAGTACAACTACTAGTTAATGAATACCAAATTAATTATAACATTTCTGTTTATGAAAAAGAAGAAAAAAACGATTTGCTTTTATTAAATTATGTATGCATAAATAAATATATCCTTTTCATATTAACGAAATTTTTAAATATAAATCTTATCGATAAAATGGAGTTCATTCATATGAATAAGGAAGAATATGATAATAACATATATCATCTCTTTCTTAACATATTAAGTGCAGGAGGGAATATACATGAACATGATAATAGGAAAGACACTCTTTTTCTAAACCATAACTACAAAATGAACTATTTAAAAAGTGACAATTCAAATCAGTATGAGGTGGAAACAAAGGAAGAAAAGCACTTAAATCTAAAGTACAAAGGCGAAGAGCAGGTAATAAACTCACATCAAACTGCACCACAGGAGCTGAGCAACTCTTCTCAATATAAAGAAGAAACGTTTCATGTTTCTTATCAGAACCACGAAAAAGATATCACAAATGGAAATATTAATACACATCATCACGAAATGCATACTTACAAATGCACGGGACATGATAATGATTATCATTTAAATAGTTCATCTGCGGCGAAAAGGGAGGATGATAACCATAAAAACTATGAAAAATATAATGAAAAATATGACACTTTCTACTCTTGTGTAGATAAGGGAAATGTTCAGAGTGAATATACGAAAGATGTAGTGATAATAGAGCAAGATGGAAACAAACGGGCTACTCATCGATCGAATTGTGAAAACAATGTGTCATACAATTCTCTTGATGACTATAAAAACAATTTTTATCAAAATAATGAAACTCCACCGAATTATACAAATAATTATTTATCTTGTAACAAATCTATGAAAACAAATGAAGAACCTATATATGGAACTGAATTAAATAGAATAATCGAATTTTTTCCCCCCAAAGTTTCACTCACAGAATGCAAAGAGGATGATTTCTGCATAAATGAAATGAAAATTGATTTAAAGAATGTTATAAAATCCATGAAAGAAGAAAATAATGTTAAAATAGACCTACTAAATGATAGGATAAAATATCTGGAGTCAGAAATCATTAAAAATAAAGAACGCATGATCACATTTCAAAAACTAAAGGAGGATGTGGAAAAATACAAAAAAGAAATAAATAACAAAAATAAAATTATAGAAGATGTCGTTCGCGAAAAAGGATTCCTGCAAAATGATATTAACGTAATGCAAACAAAATTGGAACATAGCACCAAAATTTATGAGGATAAAAAGAAGCTTACCAAATACTGTCAAGAAAATCATGTCGATAAACAATTAGTTATGGAAATGCTAAAAAATAGTAGGGACTCGTTAAAAGCTACTAACATTAAAAATCAAGTATTTCTAATTTTATGTGATATTCTGGGTATTAAAAATGTAATACAGGGTGTGCAGCAGGAAAAAACTATATCCGATCAATTTTTGGAGTTCCTGGATCAGGAAACCAAAGATCCTTGAGATGTCATCCCTTTGAGATACATGAGAAGGAACCCACCCTATGATCAAAATTGACGTGCACCCTAACACAACACATTAAACCATGTTTGCATCTCTTTTCCTTTACTATATGTCTCCCATATCCCTGACCTTTTGATTTTTAAGCGAAGCTAGGGATTATCACCGAATAGAGGAAATCAAAAGAAGAATTCCTTTTTGTAATTAAGAGCTGAAGCATTTTTCCCTTGATTTTTTAATTTTTTTTTTTTTTTTTGCCATGATTTACGCTATGAGTTTTTATCCCACTTCTTTAATTTTTCTCATTTTTTTAATCATATGTGAGGTTAAAGTTGTGACGTTGCGAGGCAGAAGTTGTGATAATGTGAAGCAATGTGTACCCATTGAAATGTAAACTACTTCATTATGCTTTTTACCGATATATTTTTTTTTTTTATATAGCTCTATATATCTGTTCTTTTTTTTTTTTTTTTTTTTTTTTTTTTTCAAAGCTCTCGCCCCCCCGTCTACATTTTTTGTAACAATTTCATATTGTTCTCACCTTTATTTTTTTTTTCGTTTGTGCTGTGTTATGTGTATCATTGTATTTTTCTGTATAGTTGACATTCATTTTAATTTTTTTCACAGAAAAATGCAGCTAATAACATTAATCCAATTTTTAGTAATTTTTAATGTATCATTAAAACGCAAAAACTAAAATCGTGAAACTCATAATTTTTAAATTTCAAGAAACAAGGAAAAAGGTTATCCATTTTGTTTCCTACGTTCTAATGCTACATGAATGATGCCTTATTTCAGCACACGTAGACACACAAAGATAAGTCTATCCTCTTCTATGAGTTTGCCTTCCCTTTTCATTTCATTTTTTTTGGAATTAAAAAAAAAAAAAAAAAAAGCAGAAAAAAGTAGGGACTAAGGCATAACGTTATATTTTCCATAAACAGTTCTACGTTTTGGAAAATATTTATGAAGACTACAAAAACTAGACATTCCAAAATAAAATGAAAAAAAAAAATATGAATGTTCATAAAAAAATGATTTTTAAAATAAATCTTTATGAAAATCATGAACAATGGCATAATAGTATTCTGAACATTCATATATAAATACTTCATCAAATAATGTTACATATGTTCCCCCTTTCTTGTTTTTGCTTGGAAACATGAACTTTGAGGGCTTAAATTAAAGCTATTGTTAATTTTGTTATCTTTGTACATTTTTTTTTTTTTTTTTTTCAAAACAGCTATTTTTCATGAGAAAAAAAAAAAAAATTCTGTAAAATATTCATAATGGTTCCCTTTTTATACAAAACAACAACAGAGAACAAGTTTTAAAAAATTATCACTCTCGTTTAGCGTATAGGACACACACAACTGGAAGTTTTATTTAAACTAAATGGAATGAAAAATTTCAATTTCCTTGCTATGAAATTTAAGCAGAAAATTGTTACCAAAAGTAGCATATTAGTTTTTCTTGTTTTCATTTTGGCTGTCTTTTTTTTTTTTTTTTTCTTCCATTTTGAATATTTTTTTTTTCTAAAATACAACTCACATCACTAAAATTATACATTAACGAATTATATTCCAATGAAATGAAAAAAAAAAAAAAAAAAAAATTAATTTCAAATGATAATTAATTCTGCTAAAATTGAATAAGTCCATGTCACGCCCAAGTTATGTAAGATAGAATAAAGAAAAAATTCTATATGCAACCTTTTTAATAAATCCCATTTGTTGAATTAACAAAAAGAACATCATTAATAACTTAATATTGCAGATATATATTACAAGAAGAAATGAATGAATTTAAAAGTAATAGTGATGCTTTGAGGTGCAGGGGAAATAATTCCGAACGTGCATTAAGTGGAAAAATAAATAATGGCCTAAATAGGGAAATAAAGGAGCCAACTTATTTTTATAATGATGTAAAAAAATCACCATCATCAAAGTCATATTTTGGAGAAAATCATAATAGGAGCAAAGGGCTTTTAAATAACAATCCTGTAGAGAGGTTAGAATTATTTCAAATAAGTGAAAGTGACGTAAGACATAGAAGATACTTAAGTGAAAAAGTCGATATAAGAGATGAAGTTGTGTTTTCAAGCAAAAATACAAGAAGTGTAACCCATAGTATTAATTCTGAGGATTCATATAGAGCAGAAGAGTCTTGTGAAAAATTTTTTCAAATAAGTAGTGAAGCTAAACATGAGCTATCTGAACATGTAAAAATGTTAATAAACAATGCAAATGAATCAGGTCATTATGCTTCAAGTACGAAGAATAATTTCAAAGAGGATAAATATTGTGATAGAATAAATAAAAAAAGAAATAAAACCAAACTATCAAAAAAAAAAGAAAAAAAAAAAAATAAAATAGCTAAGTATGATAAAAATGAAAAGCTAGAAAAGTTCACTAAGTTGCAATCCTTATATGACGGGGCGCATGATGCTACTGCTTATTTTGTAACAAAAGTATTCAAGAATGAAGCAAACAATGAAAAGAATATTGTGGAATATTGTGATATATTGTCTAATCATAGTGAGCGTATTTTTAAAAAATTTGAACTTTTTGAGCATGAGGGGGAAACAATGCATGCTGATGATGAAACAGGTTAGTGAACTTCGGAAAATTAAAAGTGTCAAAAAAATAATGGCTGATAAAAGGAGCTATATATGATTCATCCTTTTATGGATGGGCCTTCTTAAATTTTTTTTTTCTTTTTTACATTCCACCTTTCAAGCTGAATTATACAATGCATACATTGCTCAAAAAATTGCACCTGAATAAGCGTTGTCATTCTTTATCTTTTTTCATTCTTTCTCCCTTCAGATAATGGACTTTTGGATAATATATGTGAGCTTTTCACCTATGTAATGTTCTTAACATTGAATAAATGAAAATTTTCGCGATAAATGAACCTTAATCTTTGAAGAAAAACAAGCTAGTATAATGAGATAAACAAGTTCTCTTCTATCCTTTTGACATTATAAGATTATGCCGCACCCCTAAAAAAAAAATAAATTGGCCTCCTGTTATTCGATATTTTACATTATTTCGTATTGATACAGTATTTTCCATTTTGCATATATTTATTTTTTTCCTTTTCTAACGTTAATGCCGCATATAAGGACAAATACATTCAGGGGGTAGGATTCATTTCAAGTGATTTTCTTTTATTTTCAATATTTTTATTTTCTCTTCAATTTTTTTTTTTTTTTAATATTATTATATTTTTTTCTGCTTTCATCTATTGCTGTAATTGTGTCCCGTCTGGGTATAATTGCATGTTGTAATTTTTTTTACTAATGTGACAAGCACTTAATTTATGCCAATTTTATGAATATGTTGCTTAATAACGCTTACAATGTGTGGCTTTAAGTTTTAAAAACATGTGTAGTGTATCATCACATTTTTCATTGATCCCATCCATCTGAGGTGAAGTATAGTGTGAATAGTTATTTTCCCTTTCCCTTTTGTTGTCATTGTTCCATGTTTTCATTTGATCATGTGTTTATTTGTTCATGTTTCATTTTTTTTTTTTTTATATCTAATATTTCGAAAAGACTACATTAAGCCATTTTTCACATGTTTCCCCTGTTACAAAGGATATAAGTATAGCATTGAGTACATTTAAAAAAAAAAATATATATATTTTATTTTACTGCCATTCCTTCTGTCAAACTGTGCATAACGAGTCAAATATTGTTGGCTCAAGTAGAATTTTATGTTTCAATTAAAGAGTAAAAAACAGTAAAAAAAAAAAGAATGTGATAATAAATAACTCAAATATTAGTTTTATTTTGCTGCAAAATCTTTCATTTGAACATAAAAATAAAAATTTTTAAATATTTAAAAAAAAAAAATTCTTAATTAAAATAGGCGGATGCATAACCAGTTGTGAAATCAGAGATTTTATTAAAAATATAGGAGAATATTTTTTTTTTTTTTTTTTTATTTAAAAGATACAACGCGGTTAATTAAAAATGTCAAAAGGTCCTTATCCACACATGTACAAAAACAACTACGTTAATTGTAAGTATGTTTCGAGTTGGGTTAAAAATGTGGGTATGGAAAGGTTACAAAATTCGTATAGTTTAAAAAGGCCGATTTGATGCACATTGGTATAGTACGTTCCTTTGATGGCATTTCGGTTTCCACTTTTGGTTCTGCTTGAGGTCCCACTTCTGGTTCTACCATGCACATGCACAGAGAGTTACAAATAAGACTTTATAATTTGCACTTTCCCATTACACAAATTGTACAAATTCAAAACGTGCTGCTTGCACGATACGGCAATTTCGTTCAACAATTCCAATTCAAAATTTTTTAGTACATCCAATGTTGTTACTGGGCTGTAATTATCTAGCACCTCGGAAAGAGAAAGCAAGTTTTTATTTATGTCAGATAGTAGGCCAATTTTTTTCACAAGGTAATTTTTGATAAGCATATTATTTTCACTGGAAACTTTCTTTTTTCCTTGATTATAAATAGATTGAATTGTTAAAGTAAAGATCGTAATATTATGTACAACATAATTATACTGCTTAAACAAACAAGACAAATTGATAATCTGACAGGATGTATCATTTTTTAAAAGCTGTTTAAAAACGTTTAATTCATTGGACATATAGAGGTATATAATATTATCTAAAAATTGTAGCTTATCAGTAAACTCCTTAATGTTTTTGTCTCCTGCCAAGATTCTTAAGTACATGTTTAAATTTAATAATAAACTTTTATAATATAAGGCAGCACTCTTGCTATATATGTCATTGTGGTATGCTGCTTGCATAATATTATACCTTTTGAATATTTCTTCGCCATATTTTTTTTTAAAGACGGGGTCGATTAGGACAGAATCTTTGGTTGACGGTGCTGCTGCTACACATGTTTTTGTCTTTTTCACAATACCAACAGAAGATTCGACAGAATTACTACCATTCGCACTCTCGTTATGATTAACAATACCGCTTTCCCTTCTGAAGGATAAAATTTCTTCATCAATCGTGAATTCATCTAATTCTTTTTGTAAATAAAGAGATTCATCTTCATTTAGACTCTCCGTCAGTTGGTAGTAAGAGATAATATATGTAAGGTACAAAAAGGCACATTTGGACTTATTCATTAGCTTTAACTTTTTAGATTCATCCGAAAATGAATAAAAATAAAAGGACTTATGGAATAAATACATAACTGTATTTAAAATAATAGCATTCAGGTATAAGGTCTGAATAGGATAATTGAATAATTCAGTTAAGCATGTATTAAAAGGGGAGGTAAAAGAATTTTCATTAAATTGGAATTTTGGTTTATTCTTCCATTTGAAAATATATTTATTTCTATAATTATAATTATCCTTGTCAAAGCTTACATAAATGTTATTGTTTGTGAAAAAGTTAATTTCATGATCTACGACACTGTAATCAGCATGTTCTTTTATCTTTTCATAAGAAATATCATTTCCATTACGGCCACAAGTGCTCATGATATTATTATTATCATCATTGTTATCATCATCATTGTTATGATTGCTTGTGTTTTTACAACTCTCTTTAGTATTCTTGAAGAAACTACTCATGCCTGAATCTTGAGAGACATTTCTACCACTATGTTGTAACACATCACCCATATTTTTATAATCAAGTATGTTTTCATGGCTTGTTACGTATACACTACCCTTCAAATTGTAAAAGCTAGATAACATGATCATTGGATATACTGTCTTTATATCTTTCAGCAAATTAACACTATTCGCTTCTGTTGTGTTCAAAATTTTAATGTCCTTTAAGAACTGAAATTCTTCTACTGGATTTAGCGTTTCATAAAGCATATGGTTGTAAAAGAACGTGTCAAACGATTTGTACAATGTGAATCGAAATGATGGGATATTATATTTTATTAAAATCGTTTGATTATCAATTGTCAGGAAATTAAATTTGTCTAGCATCAATTTCGAGTAGTAATTTTTAAAGTTGTGTTCCTCGTCCAGTATATCTTCATTCATTTTTTTTAGCATATTTAGAAAATCGTTTTTTATAGAAGCATAAGTAAATTTATTATCCTTGTTCTGATTTGTACATCTCACATTCGTACCATTTAACTTGTTTTTTTCTTCTACATCTACATCTGTATGGATGGTAGTTTTCTCCTTCTGATGGTTTAATGCTTCTAGAACACTCGTTGCCTTCTTGATTCCATTCAATTTTTCATTTCGATTTCTACTCATGTTGTTACCCTTTCCTCCATTATTCATAGGAGGAAATTTGGTACAATGCTCATTATGAATCGGATAGTCCTTTTTTACACTTCCAAAGAGATTGAAATAGAATCCCACTCGGGATGCATCTAACTGTTTTTTAAAAATGTACAACAACTTAATAAAATAAAAAATAATATTTGAAGAATTTAAAAAATAAGCATTCACAATTTCGTTCACTTTAAAAATGGAATTATTTTGAAAGCATTTCGAAACTGAACTTTTCAAATTCCCCTGCTGTACATTGTAATAATTTAAAATGTTTTTTAACAAATTTTCTGCATAACTAAAGTAGGAATAATTATAAGTATGAATAAACAAAATGGGTGAATATGTTATCAACTGGATATTCTTAATATTTAACTTTTCTATCAAAGTTGAAAACTTGGTAAAATTTCCAATCACATTATTCAAATATATCATTAGAACTACTACATTTATATAATCATTGTTTAATATAGGTTTCACTTTCTTTTCCTCATTCTCCTTTTCTGTCATTCGTATGCGATAATTATATGAATATTTCAATACACTCAGGGCAGCAATATAGTACGATCTATTGATCATGGGTATATTCCTTTCGTTTTTCTCTACACTATTAATGTCAAAAATATTTGTAGTCTCATTTGTGATATTTGGGATGTAAGGAGCTCCTATGGTTGTACTCTTATCTATGCTTTCCACCTCGTCTTTTTTTTCTAAACTATTTGTTGTGATCTTACAATCCTTTGCACAATCGTAAATTCCAATTGGACCCAAAAATTCATCCACCGTTTTACACTTTCGAAGGTTGAGACTATCAGATTTTTCATTTAACAAATTGTACATGTGCGTTGCATCATCATCAAGATTACACTTTTGTTCACATTGACAGAGGTTGTGTTTGTCTAGATATAACGCCATTTCGACTAGAAGCACAACAAAGTTATCATCTCGAAGTTTTAAATCCATATTATTGGTTACTTGTATGAACATGGAAAAAATACGGTTAAAAGATTCATGTACATCTTTTTTATACAATACGTATAATAATTTTTCAAAATTGTAAATTTGCTTATAAAATTGTAGAACATTTTTTTGTACTTCTTTCTTCGGGTCATTTTTATCTACAGATGATGATGATGATGATAATGATGATATGGTTTTCATTTCTGTGCTAATTGCTACATACAATTTTTTTAAAACAATTTTTATGAACACAATAAGGATGGCTATCATGTCGTCTTTCAAAAGACTTAAATGGTTCTTAATTGAATAAAATAAATTATAATTTTTACTTTCCTTTAAGACAAAGGAAAGTAACATGTAGATGTATATCTTTACATCGTGTTCTTCATATATCTTCATAACGTCCGTTTTGTATTCTTCAATAAGTTTTTCCAATGTGTTTATTATATTCTCGAACAGACATGAGCATTCATCCGTATCGTCTTTTAAACTTTCCTTATCATTCATATTGTTATTATCTTCTCTATCGAAGGAAAGAACTAAATTCATAACATCCTTGAAATATCGTTCAGAATTTGTTGCACTATCAGAATCCTTGTTTTCAATGCAATTCCAAAAGGTAGAAATATTTTGAGGAAATGCTTTAAGTTTCTGAACACACACATTTATTAAACATTTTTGAAAAAATTCCAAATACATTAAATCATTTTTGTATAGATTGAAAACATTTTCTACTTTTAAATCTTTATCATTTTTGTTTAGTAGGTAAATAATAAGATCTATATATAAGATGTAGTAATCACTATTTTCAGATAGCTCCTTGATTAAGCTTATTAACACATCTATACAATCATTTAGTTTATTAAAAATAAAATTTGTATATAATTTATATACCTGGTATTGTAACGGGTTCAGAAAGAAATTATTACTCTTAGCATATTCTAATATTTTGACACATTCTTCATAATTTCTTAATTTTATATTATTGAAAAAGAAAACTAAAAAAAAAGAAAAATTCTCTGTAACTTTATTGTTACTGTAACATTTGTAATTTTTTAAAAAACTTAGAGACAAATTATAAATTTGTGGATTATTATTTGAATTGTTCATATATAAAAGGTAGCTGTTATAAAGCAGATATTTCGAATCACATGTATTTTTGTATAATTTTAGACACAAATTACTGCCTTTTTTAAAAAAATTTGTATTCAAACAATAGTCAAAGAGATTTTTTAAAACTATTTCTATATCTACAATCTTTTGTTTCTCCAATACTTTTGAACCACTGCTTCTAATAATATCGTTACTTACATTATCAACGATCATTCCATGCTTGTTAGATTCCGCTTTTTTCAATTGATGTTCATATAAACTGATTAAATTTCCACCTTCATTCAGATTTGTAAATATTATTCTCAATATATAAAACGAATTTTCATCCAGGTCATCTATATCCACTGATTCCAACATTTCTTTGCATTCCTTTATTTCATTCACATATGAATGAAGTAAACATTTTAACAACAAATATATTTTTTCATTCTTCTTTCCTTTCAATCCTGACGTAATTACTTTTTCACATTTTTTAAAGGATTTTTCCTCTATCAAATTTAAAACTTCCAGTATCTTGGAATTCATTTTGCTCACGCTCAGAAAACGTGATAAATGAATTGGAGTTTCAAAGCTAGAATTATTAGCAGTGATAACAGTGCAATTCAGTTAGCCTGTAGCCACGTGAATTGAAAAATGAAGATTCAACGGAAGAATAAATCGTGTCAAAAAAAATTTCTCTAATGAATGAAATTTAAATACATTTCATAATTATTTGAAGAAACAAGTAAATGCAAAAATGGGCAGTATTTATAATCGCCTTTGTGTAATATACAAGTATAAACAAATCATGTACATGTGGTTACAATGACACAATGTTACAACATCAAATGCATTTGACATTTATTATATTTTCACTAAAATGTGTAGTGACTGTGTATGCTTCACGTGTGTGTATGCTATACGTGTGTGTATATACTTGATATCTGTGCAGGTGTTCGTGTTATTTTTATTATTTTTATTTTTTTTTAAATGTAAGTAATACGTATTGCGCTAGCGAGGTTTCCAAGTGCGCTCAGTGAAATTTGTAAAGTAGTAACCCCAATTGTACTGGTACATCATATTCCTCTTTAAATAAAGAAAAAATAGGTGCACATACAATTTATGTAAAATCCGTAGTAATTACGTGAGGGTAGTAAATATATAAAGGCATAATTCATTAAAACGGGGAAGGTGCAAAAAGGCGTGAAGTAGTAAAAATGAAAAAAACTAGGAGAAGCGGGAAAAAAAAGAAAAAAACATCTAAAAAAAAATAAGTTATAAAAAAAAAAAAAAAAAGAAAAAAAAAAACAATAAATTAGTCATTTGGTTAATCAACCAGGTATATGTGTATGTATATATATATATCTAAAACAAATACGTATATATATTTACGTATAACTTCGTGATTTGCTTGTGCAATATACTATTTGGAGGGTACGCAATTGAAGAAGCGACGCAATAAAAGATATTACCAAAAAGGCAACTTCAAAAGATGGGAAAAATAAAAAAAACAGGTAAACAGTAAAAAATAAATGAATAAAAAATAAAAGAATAAAAAATAAATAAATAAAAAAAAGCAAACTACAAAAAAATATAAAAATATATATAAAAAAAAGGTAGTTGACTGCAACGCACACGACATCTGACACAAAAATAAAATCAGAAAAAGATGCACAAAAGTATACATTTATTTACATAATTAAATGAGAGAGAGCAATAGTGGGTGAGGTGGGGAAAAGCTTCCCTGTAAAAGATAAAGAAAATACACTTGTGCACTTATGTTTATCTACAGCAAAAATAATGCACATGCTATAAAAATTAAGGGGAGAAAAAAAAAAAATAAAATAAAAATCTTGCCGAAAGCTCGTAACGCGAGTCACGTATAAAAAAAAAAAAAAAAAAAAAAAAAAAAAGATTACGTGTGTATAATATATATACACATATATATGCATACTCGTTGGGCGTAACACATGACACCAAAACACTCTTAAACGTAACCTGTGCATACAGGAAAGAACAAAATAGTGGGAAAAAAAAATAGTAAAATGATGCAACCGTTTTTTTTTTTTTTTTTTTTTTTTTTTTTTTTTCGAGATGGAGGCAAGAATAGGAAGGAGAAAGAGAGATATTCGGAACCCAGAGGGCTTTATCAGAAATGATGCATTTGAATGCTTGAAACTACATATGTCAACATGTACTTGGAATTATGCCAATCTGTATATACACGACGTATCCACATTCATAGAAAAAGGAATTTTTTCAATTTTTGCGAAAACTTCAAACTTTCAAAGTATGTGCTGTACACACAAGTATTTTCCAATATTATCAATAAAGCGCCGTCGAATTAACGAACTTTTTTTTTTTTTGTTTTTCTTCCTTTTCTTCCTTTTCTTCCTTTTCTTCCTTTTCTTCCTTTTTAAATAAAACAACACACACACACACAAACGACACATCTGCAAAATGCCAACGTAGTACACAAAATTGATGAATGAAATAAATGACAAACTACGAAATTAAAAACATGGAAATAAAAAACAAGGCGACATCATTTTTAGGGGTTATTTTGACGGACCCTTCACTAAAGAGGTTTATTATTTTTCTTATAATCTCAGGAGTAATATGGTGATACGCATTTTATATATCAATCTATCCATCACCCTGCTTCTGCTGATGTTATGTCATACCCATTTTTTAAATTGTTACTGAGTGTTTGCAGCACATGTCATAGTTAGGAACAGATTATTTCTCAACCCCAACTTGTCTTCCAATAATCATTTTAATGATATATACCCTTTAATATATAGGTTTTTACCCATCCATAAAGCCATGACAAATTTGTTTGTTGAAAAGTATTCCAAATTATCTTCAACGGATAGTAAAATTTACGAATATCTCACAAATATCTCAGTTATAGTTGCATATTACTACATTTTATGCATAAAAAATATTGGTGGTACTTGTAAAGAGGTTATGAAAAATGCAACACTGTTAAAAGGAAAGTGCGTCGTTGTAACGGGTACGTAACTATGAGGAGTCCGTTCGACTTATTGTCCTATCTTGATTAGAACATTATTGCTATCTGTGTACTGCCATTGATTATTCTTTCGTTTTGTTTCTCGTTTGTTGCACTTTTGCTGTACCCCTTTTTTTGCAATTTTTTTTTTTTTTTTTTTTCCTACTCAGGGGGTTACAAAGGAATCGGAATGGCAGCGGTAAAGGAATTCTTAAGATTTGGATGTGAAATCGTTTTGGCCTGCAGATCAGTAGAACACATGGAATTAGTAAAGACAGATCTTCTCACGAAATATCCCTAGTAATAATTTATACGGCATTGTTAACATATGCTGAGGTATACAATAAGTGATATGTGTTTTTTTTCAATGCTTATGCATTTATCTTCTTCTTGTAGTGTTTAATATGGGTAATGTTACATGTATGTACATTTAATTCTTCACTTCCACTCCACGTTCAGCGCTAAAATTCATTGTGTGGAACTTGATTTGGGAAATTACAAGAGCATAGAAAACTGTGCCAACTGTATACTCAGCAAAATTCCCAAAATAGATATTCTAGTCAATAATGCCGGTAACATTATATTCACTGCTTTGCTGACTATGTTTCTAAGTCATTCACAAAACATCACTTACCTGACTTTCTAAGAAGTGTGCACCTCGTATCCCATGTACAGCAGAGTCTGTATTAGCAATTCTACTTTCATCTACTTTCATCTACTTTCATCTACTTTCATCTACTTTCATCTACTTTCATCTCCTTCCATCTTCTTTCATCTATTTCCATCTCCTTCCATCTAATTCCATCTACTTTCATCTCCGTCCATCTATTTCCATCTCCTTCCATCTATTTCCATCTCCTTCCATCTCCTTCCATCTACGTCCATCTACTTTCATCTCCTTCCATCTTCTTTCATCTATTTCCATCTCATTCAACCTATTTCCATCTCATTCAACCTATTTCCATCTCCGCCCATCTCCTTCCATCTAATTCCATCTCGTTTTATCACATATGATTTTAAATGCACCTGTTCAATTGCAGGAATTGTGAGCCAAAAACTTGAGTACATTAATGGAATGGAAAAAACATTCTTTGTTAACTATTTTGGACACTTTTATTTAACAAAATTGTTATATAAGCGAATAATAACATCGGATACACTGGTCGTAAATCTTAGTAGCATAGCTCATAGTATGCTCAAAGAGTCGGTTAGTTGTTTTACTTACTTTATTTTTTTTTTTTTACTACAAATAAAAATCAGTAGGAACCATTTATGTACCCTGTATAATATTCCCGATATCACAACCTTTTCTCCCACTTTTAGGACGTAACCTATGATTTTATATGTGAAAAAAATTCAACAAAAAATACCAATTCAAATTTGATATATCGAAGGGAATATAACTTTTCAAAGTTGTGTATGCTTTACTACACGCAGCAGTTGCAGAGGAGGTAAAAAAAAAAAAAAAAAAAAAATACAAAAAAAAGACAACTCTATGTGATGACTACACGAATGCAAGTAAAATGTGCTCCTTCACATAGATATACATATCCATGCATATCCACATGGGATTACTTTTCAGATTCGAGAATGAAAAAACGAAGGCCTGTGCTGTGTCCATTAACCCAGGCTTAGTAAGGACTGAACTCTTCCGAAACGAACAGTGCTGGTTTCGAGCATTAGCCAAAAATTTAATTTTTTCCAAATCCCCTCTACAAGGCTCTCAGACAATTCTGTAAGATTACTTTTTGCACGAGAGGGGGGAAATTCTGCCCGAATATACATTTTTTTTTTTTTTAGTCACAGAAATGCAGTTTTGCGTATGTTTATATATTTGCTTTATTTTATTTCACTTTATTTTATTTTACTTTATTTTAATTTATTTTTCCTCCCCCGTCTTTGCACCCACAGGTATGTGTGCTTGGTCAATCGAGACCAGCTGGCAAAAGGTTCCTATTATTCCGACTGTAAAGTGGATTATGTCAGAACCTATGCTAAGGACCTACATAAATCCGAGGTACGTACACAATTTGGAAACTTTGTTTAAGCATGTTAAATGATATTTGCAAAAAAAAAGAAAAAAAAAAGGAAGTGTTAAATTCATATGTGATTTATATTGACAAAAAAAAAAAAAAAAAAAAAAAAAAAGTAGTTCATCTCCTAATTCATGGGTGACGCAAAACCGTTGTAAAAAAAAAAAAAAAAAAAAAAAAAAGTTAAAAAACATATACGTATTCGGTAAGGGTTGGTAATAACAAACTTCGCACATGCGAATACACATAAAAATGTATGTACAAGTTAAAACACTTGTATATGTTCGCATATGAATGAACACATGTATATGTATACACATACGTACATACATATGTACACAACAATATGATTTCATTATGTATATCCCCCCCCCCCCCCTTCTCCTCCCTTCCATGTAGGAATTGTGGAACTTCTCAGAAAAAATAATCACAAATAGGTGACCAAGTATGTGTAATATATTAAAAAAGATGCAAACCTCATTCAACCTACATCCATATCAGCCATCAAGGTATCTGCAATGGTAATGGCTATTTACACTGCCACAGTAACAGGAGGGACATCAACAACTAAGTTATTCACTTTTTCCCACGTATCCTTACTTCTCCCCCTTGCAATCACTTCACGAAATTCTTTGTGAAGTAACCTGTGCAATAATTTAAAATGAAGTCGTAATAAAACTGGATGGTCTCTTTGGAGTCTTCCAAAATGGACGTTTCGTCAGTAGCTGCATTATTAGCATTGTAGAGAATGTAATAATTTTCATTTAGGTCAAATTTATCAGCACCTTTTATAGAACGAAAGCTATCAATGAATGTACATTTTGTAAAATTTGAAAATTTATATTTCTTAATTATATTATTATATATATAATCATCTATGTTTTGTGTATTTAAAAGAAAATCGTGGTATTCCACAAACTTGATTACATAAACAAATTGATCATCTACGTTCACTGTTCTTAAAATAGGAATAAAATTTATTAACACTCTTTTGAATAATCCAGCACCTTCTGCTCCATCATTTTTTATCTCTACAAATAAATCAAAATTGTAGTTTTCTAGCTGGTTTATTATTATTTTTTTATTTTGTTGGTTTTTGTCTAGTATTAAAATGTCCGATGGAATTTCTCCTTCCTCCTCGGATTTTTTATGTAGAAATTCGCAGTTCATTGTATGATCATTCAATGTGTCACCATTTAAATGTGTACACTCACTTGAATCCTCATTTAATTTCCCATCATTGCTGCTACTACTTACAGATAACAATTTCTCCAACTCCTCATAACTTTTAATACACCTATACCACTTGTGATCGAAGTCATAGAAACACAACGGAATTAGCAGAAGAGACAGATGTACATTTATTACATTACAGATATGGTCATATATATATGGGGTATACTCATATATGTACATATTTATAAACACATGCCAACGGTGGTTTTTATTTATATTAAAATCATTTGTTTTGCTTTCAAAAATATAATCATATAAATTATTTATTACATTGTTTAAATAAAGGTTATTTAATTCATCGCTATATGATATTTTTATGTTAAAACATTTTTCCTTTTTTTCCCTTTTATCTATGTTACTATTGTTATTTATTTCTATTTTATTGGTTTCCACTATTTCATCATCTTCAATATTATTTTCATCACAATTTATCGTCAAATTTAGTCTCGATATTAATATATTTTTCTCGCACACATAGTATATGTTACTCTGCAAGTTGTCCTCTTCTCTTGTAATGTTTAATTTTATTTTTTTCATTTTTACACCTTGGTATGTGTGTTTTTCCGTGTATATTACCTGAATACACCAAATTTTTTAAGGAATATATTGTGCTCCTTATCTCACGTCTTCTTAATTTTTCGCACGTAGTTATATGCACAATGTCAAATAAAATAAAAACATATATGTGAATACATGTTTTTTTTTTTTTTTTTTTATTAAAACTTCTCCCTCTTACATATATGATCCAAAAAAAGTCCCTTGTTCAATCTCACTTGTAGATAATTCGATGTATTTGCTATAGAACGTGTAAGTAAACAGGATACAACGATAGATATAGCCCAAAAGGTGGGAAAACACAAAATAGAAAAAAAAAAAAAAAAAAAAAAAAAACATATTGGTCCCTCGAAAGAGATATATATGTATTTTACACCATAAACAAATACATGGCTAAATTGGTAGGACTTTGTTTCTTGTAACAAAAAGGTAATTGAACAATTTGCCTATAAAAATATAGGACCTGTGCACCCCTTTTTTAAATTGAAAGAAAATATTTCTTCGCTTTTTGGCAATTACTGGAATTTTGTTATTGTGTAGAATAAATTTCATCCCTCAATTTTAAGGCACTTAAAAAAATTTCCCCTATCTCGCTATAAATGGTCCTCAATTGTGTCATGTGATAGTGGAGCGATATGTTACAAAAAAGAAAAAGAGAAAAAACAAATGGAAACAGGTGAGAAAAAAAAAAGAAAAAAAGAAAAATTGTAGAAAAGCCTTGGCCCACAAAAAGGGAACCATATATATATATATATATAGGCTCCTATTTGGCAAACACGTAAAGCACGAACACGTTTTATTTATTTATTTTATTTTTTTATTTTTGTGTTCTTTGTTTTATGGCTTCTTATCCTCTGTCACGCGAATGAAAAACCAGTCAAGGATTCCAGAGATTATATGTCTCTCTTTATAAATTAGTTATAGTGAATAAATTATTTGTAAACACTTCAGCAATAAATAAAAAAAAAAAAAATAAATAAATAAACAATATAAAAAGAATAATATATAATGAAATGAATAGGATAGACTAAAATAAAGAATAAAATATGAATGCCATCTTTTTTAAAAAAATTAATCTGTAAAAATATAAAATGGTACATACGGCACACAATACTTAAATGGGAAGGTGAAATGGGACATGTTGATTCGATTATAAAATGCATGTGATGAAAATTTTTATCATGGGTTTATGAAAAATAAAATGGTTCCCAGAGGATAGCAAACACGTAGGGAAATATATTTCCCAATAATGTGTAATACAAAAAAAAAAAAATAAAATAAAAATAAAAATAATATAGAAAAAAATAAGAATAAAAATAGGAATAAAAAAAAAAAAAAAAAACTTCACAAAGCAGCATCATTTTATATCTGACGGGGACAGAGAACCTTAACGAAACATGTGGAATCACCTCATTGTGTAATTTTTCTGAATAATAATGCTGTGTTGTGTCCACCGAAACCCAAATTTGTATTTAATGCAATGTCTATATTTTCTTTGGCGTGCAAACATTTGTTGGGTGTATAATTTAAATCGCATTCAATATCTTTATGTTCATAATTAATAGTTGGTGGTATAACATTTGTTTGCATTGCTTTTAAGCATACGATTGATTCAATTGCACCCGCAGCTCCTATACAATGACCAGTCATACTTTTGGTAGAAGATATATGTAATTTATAGGCATGATCTTTAAAAACATTTTTTAATACTTTTGTTTCAATTTTGTCATTTAAGTTAGTTGATGTCCCATGTGCATTCACATACTTAACATCGGATATATTTATATTTGCATTTCTGATTGCCTTAAGGATAGAATTACTCAAACCCCGTCCACTTGGCTCTGGTGCTGTCATATGAAATGCATCACTTTCAGAAGCATATGCTAAAATCTCTCCATATATTTTGGCATTCCTTCTAACAGCATGCTCATACGATTCTAAAATTAGAATACCTGAACCCTCTCCCATAACAAAACCACTCCTTTTTAAGTCAAAAGGCCTACATCCTTTTTTGGGAGTATCATTATATCCACTGCATAAAGCCCTTAATGCATTAAACCCTGCAAAACTTATAGGTGTAATACTTGCCTCCGTTCCACCACAAACCATGACATCATATTCTTTATACTTTATATAACGATATGCTTCACCAATGGTGTTTCCAGATGTTGCACAAGCACTTAGCATGCCAAGTGAAATTCCTCTTAAATTATGTTCCATCGATACAAAACCTGCTGGTGTATTTGCTATCATACCAGGTATTAAATAAGGACTTATTCTTTTATGTCCTTTTTCATACAATGTTTTCATTTCTTTTTCTAAAAAAGATAACCCACCAATACCGCTTCCTATAATAGTCCCTACTTTATTGCAATCAATTTTCTGTAAATCAATTTTTGCATCATCTATGGCTAGTCTTGCTGCGGATACAGCATAATGAGTGCAATCATCATTTCGATTTACATCTTTTTTGTTTGTATAATAATCACAGGGATTGAAGTCTTTCTTATCGATTTCGCTACCTATTCCACAGGACATACCTGTTACGTCAAATTTGCTAATTTTGTCAATAGAGTTATATCCAGATATTAGATTCTCCCAAAATTTTTCTACTCCAATTCCTACTCCGTTTACAATGCCAATTCCCGTGCACACAACTCTCGATGTCTGTATTGATGTGCAAGTAAACGCAGTGCGTATGACTAGGCATGTGTGCATAAATAAGTGGATGTATCGACAATCGAAAATGAAATATTCACAATGGAAAATCGAAAATGATGAATCCATTATGGAAAAATGTAAAATTAATTTTTTTTTTTTTTTTTCTGTTCACGTCTTACTTCACAATGTGTTTTCAATTCATTTGCACTGTAGGTGTTGTACAGCTTTACATTTCTGAAAGTGTCTTTTCCAGCTCTTTGCATACTGTTCTTGATAAATCCATATTTTTTGCTGTGTACCTATTGACATTTTTGCAATTTAAAATATATTCATGCATGTGTCTTTTGAAAAAAAAATGGAAAAAGGAATGAAGACGTTGCACACATAGGTGCAACTGGGTCCCTCCTTTATTGTATTAAAAGGAATTGTATATGTATTCGCACAAGTGTTTGTGTATTCATTTACGTATATGTTTACGAATTTTTTTTTTTTTTTTTTTGTAGCAAATAAAACGTGCTCAATCAAGTGCACTGCTAACACTTCCTCTCAGTAGTTGAGATCAAACGTTTATATACATACGTCCACATAACAGAATAACAAAACATTGCAACATTGCAACATTGCAAACTATGAGCTCAGGAACATTGCACTATGATACCCCCAAACAAGTACATTGGGATGTGAGAACTGTTCTTTAGTAGTTAAAGTGCGAATTCGTTTTCTACTTTTTTTATTTTTTTTTTTTTCATAGATATATAAAATTAGGATAAATTTGCATGTAGGAAAGTGCTTAATTTTACAAGGTACATACATTATCCTTTAATACAATAGTTTTAGTATATTTGAATTCGCCTTTTTTTTTCCTTTTTTTTTTTTTTTTTTCGTTAAGAACAAGTACTGATTTCAACTACGCATATGTACACATGCGTGGTGATGGCATTTTAAAAAATTTTTTATAACTCATTGAGCATTTTAAAATTACTTGTAAAATTAAAATGTAGAAGAGAAGGACTTTGTTGTAAATTCTCATTTTTCACTAAATCTATTTTATAATAGGTAGATCTTTTTTCTGAACGCGTCAATATTTAATTTAGTCTGTTTTGTTTGCTTGGTTTTTTGTTGCCTATTTAGTTTATATGGGTTCACGTTCCTTATTTTGTTTATTTGGTTCATGTTGTTCTGTTCGCTCAAATTGTTTTCTTTTATTGTTTAATTAAAAAAAAAAAAAAAAACTTATGTTGAAATACAATGGAAAATGATGACACAAAAATGAAAATGTGGTTCGCATGTAAACTAAATGTACACATTACACGACCATATCTCTTGACACTTGAATTTTGCTAATTTTTTTTTTATTTTGTCGAAAGTTTGGGAAAAAAAAAAAAAAAAAAAAAAAAATGTGAAAATATTCTCTCTTTTGTGTATGTGTATGCATATATATATGTGTGTATTTTTTACAATCGTCGCATTTTCTATAATTCTTACATTTTGCATGTGCCACCCTACGAAGGAACTTTACAGAGTTTGTGAAAAAAATAGCTTTACAACGCGCATTGGAAACCAAAACAGATTGTGCATTTCCTTTTAAATGTCCATTTTGATGTATTGAAAAAAAGGAATATCTAAAAAAATTGTGCTGTGTTTTAGTACCTTGTTAAAATGGAGTTAATTGTTTCATTTTTATTCTTTTGCCTATCGATATATTTTTTTTTTTTTTTTTTTTTAAATGTGTTATTTTTTACTTTTTTGAAAATTGTCAAAATTGAAAAAAAAGCAAAGGAAAATGGCAAATGAAAAAATCCCAAAATTTTCAAGTGCAAAATTACAAAATGAAAGAGGAAAAAAAACGAAACAAGACTTTTTTAACATAGAAGCAGTGTCGCACGTTTTCCCCCAAGCTTCACAACATTCATGCAGCAAACAAGTTAAAGGCATTTATTTGACATGTGTGACTTAATGAGAACTCTTTGTGTTTTATTCATCCTGAGTTCATACCTCCCGTCCATCGCTTGACTCAATGATCAAGTGCATTTTAATGAGTAACTTTCCTCTTTTAACTGCTCAGGGGGACAATTTTGAAAGGAAAATTGACTAAATTGCTCACCATGCTCAAATTAGACAAATTGAAAGTTGCGCATGTTTCGCTGTTGCTTAAAATTTGTGCTTAAGCTTCATGTGAATTTAATTGCATTCAAGCGTGTTTTTATGTGCTTGATGCAAATAATGTATACATTTTTTCCCTTTTTTTTTACTTTTTTTTTTTTGCTTCTTTTTGCATTTGTTTTTTTTTTTTTTTTTTTTTTTTTTTTAACGCGTTTACGTAGAACAAATTGTTCAATATATCATCTTAAATTAAAGGAAAATGCATTTTACTTTTTATGTACACATTCCTGAGTGAGATGATTAAAAAGGAAAAAAATATGTGAATTTTATTTTCATCATAAACAATGTGCCTCATCAGATTATACACTTCTGTGTGTACACTGACAACTTATACGTTTGCAAATTATTACACAAACATACAACCATATACATTTATAAACGTAAGAAATTCATTTTGAACATAAATGATTTTATAAAAAAGGGTAAAAAGCCATGCATGTATATGTATATGTGTATATATATGTTCATATATATGCAATTTTTACACTCTTTCATAAGCATGATATAGGAAGACTCAATTACGTGCCTTAAATATCAGAAGAAGAAAAAAAAGAATATAGAGTATGTAAAAATAAGTACTCAAAATGAAGACTCGTACATAATAGCACATTTAATAGTTTCAATTAAATGTGTCTAACACAAATGCCAATAAAAGTATCAAAAAGTGACACATTAGTAGGCTAAGGTCACTAAAGCTACATTAAAGATATATCATTTATGATACAAAAATGTATCAACTCCATTCGACACTTGATTTATGTTTGATGTATAACAAATCATTAATAATTAATGCGCATATATGTATATGCTTAAATGGTAAAGATACTACCTTGTAATAGTAGAAAAAAAAAAAAAAAAAAAAAAAAAAAACCTTTATTTTGTTTTTAATGCCAAAATTATACCCTATGCACGTAACAATATCTGAATTCTTTTTATGAGTTTATATATATTTTTATATATACATTTGCATTTGTGTTTATCTTTATGCAAATGTTCATGTGTATGCTTATGTTCATGTTTATGCTTACACTTGTGCTTTTTTTTTTTTTTTTTTTAAATGTATAAATGTTAAAATATATGTGACAAAATAGTGTGCTTTATTATATATACGGAGTTACCAAAATTTTCCTTATATTTCCAAAAAGGGGAAAAAAAAAAAATTTTTAAAACGCTCAATTTGTACCTTGGATACTTGTGAATCATTGTCATAGCAATTGCACTAACAGAGAAGGGGCTAAAAAAAAAGAAACAACAAGTCTTGACAGAATAACAAGTTGGAAATTAAGTTTATCAAATAAAGCAAAAAAGTGTGTAAAAGGTGTAAAAACATTGTGAAGTAAGCACCAAAAAATTACATACAAATTACGAAAAAATTACAAAAAATTACAAAAAATTACAAAAATTTACAAAAAATTTACAAAAAATTACAAAAAATTTACAACAAATTCGTAAATACTCAAAAATTCACAAGTTCGCAAAAACTCGCAGCAATTTCTCAAATTTTTAGGAAAAAAAACGTAAAACAGTTACTAAAAATCGCAAAAGAAGAAATAGGACACGAAAAAAGCAATCACAATACATGCGCTAAAAATACGCGTCACTGTGGGGGAGTGACACACACAATACATTTAACGAGATCCTCCCATGTGTCATAGTCTTGTCACTAGTTCAACTGAAGATATTACGCATTTGTTACTCTGATTGAATGAGTAGGAAAATTCGGCACCGGAACAGACACAGGTAAGGGAAATCAGCTATAAAGCAAGGGGACGACATTGGAAATAGCGAATTGTGCATAATGGAAATATCAAGGGGAAAAGTGATTATTGAAAAGAAAATCAACGAATACGTGATAGATGAAAATGTATTTTTCTTCGAGCCAGAGAAGGAAGATGTATATGATGAGAATGCAAATTTGAGGTACATTTTCCATAATACATTTATCAACACAGAAGAGGAAATTGCCATAAGTGAATTCAAAAAGTATTGCAAAGATAAATCGTTAAAAATAAACAAGGCATTTTTTGAAAATGAGTGTTTGCGCTATTTGTATTCAGCTCAATTTGATTTTCCAAAAGCATTAGATTTAATTCAAAGTAATTATGAATTTCGATTATCAAATATTTTACCAATAGAAGAAAAAGATGTTATAAATTATATTAACAAAGGAGTTATATATTGGCATGGAAGAGATAAAAAATGTAGACCCATTTTGATAATAAATTTACTATCCGTTGAATTATTAGATATAGAAGAATTAACAAATTTATTCTTTTTCTGTTTTGAATTCTTTTTAAAATATCTATGTATACCTGGGAAAGTTGAAAATTACATATCTCTTATTGATTGTTCAGGGATATCAATATCCAAATTCCCAATGTCAACATTTATGAAATTGTTGGAAATTATGAATTCAAAATATAGATGTAGATTATTTAGAATGTATATAATCGATGCCCCAAAAATATTCAAAACATTTGGAAAATCATTTTTAAATTTTGCTCCATCTTATATGACAAAAAAGTTAAAAATTCTAGACGCAAATTATTCGTCTTATTTGAGGCAAGAAATAATGGACACTCAGCTGGAGAAGAAATATGGAGGACTACAAGAAATAAGAAACAACACTTTTTATCCTTTCTCATTCTATCCGAATTGTTATCTCTTGAATAAGGAGGAAGCAGGACATGCGGAAAAAACGGGAAAAGCGGAAAATGCGACAAATTCGACAGAGACAGTCCAAAAGGAACAAAGCAAACGGAATGTATCTCACAGAAAATTGAATTCAGAAGAATTGAAGGAGCAAGTACACAACTTCTTAATGTCAGGATATTCAATGCACCTGCAATTGGTAGATCATGAGGTTCATAAGGAACCATTTAAAAAACAATATTCTGCTGCCACAGTAGACAACATAAATAGCAGCAATGGAATGCAAAAGAATATAAGCAATAATAACAGTGTGAGTCACATGATGAGGAATAATATTATGAGCACAAGTAGTAGAAAAAAAAAAAAAAAACAAAACTTGTCCAAAAATAAAGAATTTTTAGAAAAATGTTTCATCGATTCAGTAATAAATAAAGAATATCAAATCACAAATAATAGCTTTTTAAAAAATAATAAATATATTAATTCAAAAGTCCGATATGTTGTTAATGTTGGAAGTACACATAGTTGGCTTTTTAAAATTAAGCATTTATTTTTACCCAATATAACAATTGATTATTTAACGAGAAAATTTCCATTCATTGCAAATTATCTCATTGCCAAATCGAATTTTAAATCAGTACATCACTATATGAAATATGTAGAAGATTATATAATCACCAAAGAAGATAATACTCTTCAGGGAAAATATAGTAATACTAGATATGATAAAGACATTAAGGGAACATATAGTAACCATGCGCATGTTAGTAAACATTTTATTACACTCAGTTCGACAACAAATACCATTCTAAGTTTAAAAAATGGAAATGATGAAATACATTCCAAAATGATAAACAATATAAAATCTGTGAATAATCATTCAGGGGTAGTGAAGGGAAAATGCCCTTCCCATCTACCTACACATAGAAGAAGAAATAAAAAAAAAATGTCTAAAATTGATGAAAAGGAAAATGGACATAAAGAATGTAGAAGAATTAATGGCGATAATCTGTTAGACGAGGGTAATGTTCATCACTATCATGATTGTAAAAAAAAGACGAGAGTGAGAAATGACGATGATTCAAAACTTATTGAGAAAAACTTTTACGCGAATTCAGAATCTATTTTTGAAGATAATAATGTTAACAAGTCCCGCAAGGATAAGAATTATCATATGAAAGATAAACATCCAAATGTAAATAGTGGAAATCATAAGGAGAAAACCAAACGCTGCTATAAAATTAAGGCAACAAATAATTTATTTAAAGATGAATTTGTAGACGAATCTGAAAAAGTTAAATGTGTTGAAAAAACCTTTTTGAATAGAATTATAAGTGCGTCAGATTATGAAAAATCTGGTAAAGAAACTCCTCCCGTGAATACAGTTAAATCATCAAAAGAAAGATTCCCCAGGAAACCAACACCGAATATGGATTACTATGAGTGTGAAAGTGCAGATATTTCCAGGAGAGTGGTGACCTCGACTAATACGCAGAAATCGATTGGCACACAGAAATCGATTGGCACGCATAAATCGATTGACACACAGAAATCTATTAGCACGATGAACACGTTGAACTATAAAAACAAATTAAATACAAAGTCAGGAAGAATCAGTAACGAATCAATTGTACCTAAGAGGATAGATGATGGTGCAAATTCCAAATGCAAACGAGAGAGCAGCAATGTTACAAGATCATTCAGTGCGAAGCAATCAAAAAATTCACATAATAAATTAGAAAGAGAAGAAAAACTAGAGGAAAAAGAACTAAATAATTCTAGAGAGGGTACCAAATTTAAGAATAAAGTAGATCCATTTAATAAACATTCATTATCAAAGAATAACATAACACCCACAGTCGACGATGAATTTATACCTTTGGAAAATAACACAAACACCAATGAACTTGAACAGGAATCAAATTCACTTGAACAGACCAAAAGTAACGAGTCTGATAAAAGGAAAAGGAGGTTCAACAAAATTAAGATTATTGGTTTCCAGTTTTTCAACAAAACGGCGTCCAAAACTTAGTGCACCCCTTTGTACATATATGTATATCAGCGGATCAGCTGTGTTGTAGAGAACACGCACAGAAAGAACACTCTGCATAACTTATATACATAGGACAAGGCACAAAAGCTTTATGAACACTACCCACAAGGAGGTTATATGGAACAGATAATAAAAAGAGGAGAAAAAAACAAGTTCAAAAACAAAAAAAAATGCACATAATATTGGGGATGGCGTGATAATAAATTTTTAGCTTTTGTAAATTTTCAAAATGTAAATAATTCCACACAAGTGGAAAATGTGTTTTTTTTTTTTTTTTTTTTTTTTTTTTTTTTTTTTTTTTTTTTTTTTTTTTTTTTTTTTTTTTTTGTTTTTTTTTTTTTTTTTTTTTTTTTTTTTTCTTTTTTTTTTTTTTTTTTTTTTTTTTCACCTCTTCCCCCACT